TAATCATAGTCTGTACTGTAAATTATTGACAGATGACAACAGACTGAGTGCCTGGCCATTAAAGTCCACACCTTTAAACATGGCAACAACCAAAACAAATGCATTTGGTGCAGGGGAACTGGTTCACAAGTTGTATGGATCAAACATGTTCAGTACAGGATAGTCCTTCTGTTAAAGAGCAATCAGATTGCTGCTTGCTGGAATCGCACCATTGAGCTATGTGAACCTGCTCTACAAACTCTTGAGCATTTCTATTTTGCTTATGAAATACTTATGGCAAATAAGTAAATCTGTAAAAGACAAGATATTGTGAGGAAGAGGAGCCTGTAACAGATGGTTTACCAGTAGTGATTTCTCTTATGCACTTAACAATAAACTAAAGGGGACTGTGAAAGTGTCAGAAAGCTAACAATCTAAATCAGTAGGGAGGAATTGCATGAGAAAGCGAAAAAGTTTAAGTGATGGTAATGCAGGAAATACACAGAGCTATAGTAAGGAGATCGTGCAATGGATGGATGTGGAAAATCCGGTGGTGGTGGTGTGTATGTGTATATATATATATATATATATGAAATAAAAAATAAACTGGTTAGAGTGCAGGGTACACAGGGATCTGTGGGAGACTAAAAGGCAATGAAGAGTATATGGAAAATGGATTGAAGCATACAAGGTGGAGCAGAGTGCACACAAGGCTTATCACAGGACAGTATCAAATACAATGGTGTTGACTGCAGGATACAAGGTAGAAATGGGGTGAGTGCCAAAATGACACAGACGGCAGTGTGCCATAGGTTTGCAGAAACTTGCATAAATGAGTGTACCAGCAAGTGTTGGGTGAGAATGGCAGAAGTGAGTGGATGCAGGCAGTGCTAGGTGAGATACACAAAGTAGTGGTTACATGGGGAGATGCAGGGTTGGAAATAGGCAATGGTGGGTATACAAGGCACTGCATGGTTGGATCCAGTTAGTGCTGAGAACACAGGAGAGCTTGGCAGAATACAGCAGTTGACGACTGCAATGAGCAATGCCGTGTAAGATACAGATTTCTTATATTATTTTTTAGTAGCATTTATACAGCTACAACACATTCAGCAGCACTTCACAAATATAGAAACAGACATTTGACGGTAAAGAATGCCCCACTCAAACAAGCTATGAGGATTTGAGGTAGGCAGATAGGTATCATTAGGCGCCTTGCCAGGGAAAGTTACTGGTAAGGTCTGGCTGGGATTTAAACCTGAGCATTGCAGGGAAGAATACATGTAATGATGGGTGAATACAGGGCACTGCTGGTTAGCATACATTTAATTTACATACACAAAGGGCATTGCTGGGTAGCATACAGGTATTGATACACAGATGACTTTACGGAGTAACAGCAACAAATAGGCCATCACTGGGTAGACAACATACCCAGCTGGGTAGCCTACAGGCAATGAAATGTACACAGGGGACACTGCTGGGCAGTATACAGGCAATGATCTGTACATGGGGACACTGCTGGGCAGTATATAGGCAATGATCTGTACACAGGGGACACTGCCAGGCAGTATACAGGCAATGGCATGTACATAGAAAAGGGACATTTGACCAGGTAATACTGGGTCCCATACATTGCTGGGCAGTATACAGGCAATGGCATGCACAATGGCATGTACACAGGGGACACTGCCGGGCAGTATACAGGCAATGGCATGTACATAGGGGACACTGCCGGGCAGTATACAGGCAATGGCATGTACATAGGGGACACTGCCGGGCAGTATACAGGCAATGGCATGTACATGGGGCACACTGCCGGGCAGTATACAGGCAATGGCATGTACATAGGGTACACTGCCGGGCAGTATACAGGCAATGGCATGTACATAGGGGACACTGCCGGGCAGTATACAGGCAATGGCATGTACATAGGGGACACTGCCGGGCAGTATACAGGCAATGGCATGTACATAGGGGACACTGCCGGATATATACAGGCAATGGCATGTACATAGGGGACACTGACGGATATATACAGGCAATGGCATGTACATAGGGGACACTGCTGGATATATACAAGCAATGACATGTACACAGGGGACACTGCTGGGCAGTATACAGGCATTATGTACACAGGGGACACTGCTGGTTATATACAGACAATGACATGTACACAGGGGACACTGCTGGGTAGTATACAGGCAATGGCATATACACAGGGGACACTGCTGGGTAGTATACAGGCAATGACATTTACACAGGGGACATTCCTGGGTAGTATACAGGCAATGACATTTACACAGGGGACATTCCTGGGTAGTATACAGGCAATGACATTTACACAGGGGACATTCCTGGGTAGTATACAGGCAATGACATTTACACAGGGGACATTCCTGGGTAGTATACAGGCAATGACATGTACACATTAGACAATGCTGGGCATTATACAAGCAATGATATGTACACATGGTCACTGCTGGGTAAAAACAGGCAACAATATGTACACATGGTCACTGCTGGGTAGAAAGAGGCAACGATATGTACACATGGTCACTGCTGGGTAAAAACAGGCAACGATATGTACACATGGTCACTGCTGGGTAAAAACAGGCAACAATATGTACACATGGTCACTGCTGGGTAGAAAGAGGCAACGATATGTACACATGGTCACTGCTGGGTAGAAAGAGGCAACGATATGTACACATGGTCACTGCCGGGTAAAAACAGGCAACGATATGTACACATGGTCACTGCTGGGTAAAAACAGGCAACGATATGTACACATGGTCACTGCTGGGTAAAAACAGGCAACGATATGTACACATGGTCACTGCTGGGTAAAAACAGGCAACGATATGTACACATGGTCACTGCTGGGTAAAAACAGGCAACAATATGTACACATGGTCACTGCTGGGTAGAAAGAGGCAACGATATGTACACATGGTCACTGCTGGGTAAAAAGAGGCAACGATATGTACACATGGTCACTGCTGGGTAAAAACAGGCAACGATATGTACACATGGTCACTGCTGGGTAAAACCAGGCAACGATATGTACACATGGTCACTGCTGGGTAAAAACAGGCAACGATATGTACACATGGTCACTGCTGGGTAAAAACAGGCAACGATTTGTACACAAGGGATAATGCTGGGCATTATACAGGCAATGATATGTATACATGGTCACTGCTGGGTAAATACATGTAAAGCCAGGTACACAGGGGACACTGGTGGGTAGCATACAGTAATGATAGGTATACTGGGGACATTGAGGATTACCATACAGGTACCATTTAGCTAATAACAGGCACACAGGGGCATTGATGGGTTCCACACAGATAATGATGGGTATCATACAGGTAATGATGTGTAAACTGGGGGTAATACTAGGTACACAAGACATTGCTGAATAGTATACAAGTAATGGTAGGTACAAAGTGGGCATTGCTATCAAGGACACAGGAAATGACAGGAGCACTGCTGGATCACATACAGGTAATACTGGGCACACAGGGAGCAATGCTGGATCCCATACAGGTAATACTGGGAACACAGGGTGAGCAATGCTGGATCCTATACAGGTAATGCTGGGTATAGAGGTGGCAATGCTGGGTAAACAAGTAATGCTGGGTATACAGGTGGCAATACTGGGTAAACAAGTAATATTAGGTATATAGGAGGACAATGCTGGGTCCCATACAGGAGGCAATACTGGGTCCCATACAGGTAGTGCTGAGTATTCATGGGGGCAATACTGGGTCCCATACAGGTAATGCTGGGTATACAGGGGGGCAACGCTGGGTCCCATACGGGGGTTGGGGGGGGCAATGCTGGGTCCCATACATGTAACACTGGGAATACAGGGGAGGCCAATGCTGGGTCCCATACAGGTAACACTGGGTATACAGGGGGGCAATGCTGGGTACCATTCAGGTAATACTGGGTATACAAGGGGGCAATGCTGGGTACCATATAGGTAATACTGGGTATACAAGGGGGAAATGCTTGGTACCATATAGGTAATACTGGGTATACAGGGGGCAATACTGGGTCCCATACAGGTAATACTGGGTATACAGGGGGGCATTGCTGGGTCCCATACAGGTAATGCTGGGTAAACAAGTGGCAATGCTGGGTCCCATACAGGTAACACTGGGTATACAAGGGGGCAATGCTGGGTCCCATACAGGTAACACTGGGTATACAAGGGGGCAATGCTGGGTCTCATACAGGTAACACTGGGTATACAGGGGGGCAATGCTGGGTCCCATACAGGTAACACTGGGTATACAGGGGGGCAATGCTGGGTCCCATACAGCTAACACTGGGTATACAGGGGCGCAATGCTGGGTACCATACGGGTAATACTGGGTATACAGGGGCGCAATGCTGGGTCCCATACAGGTAATACTGGGTATACAGGGGCAATGCACTGGGTATACGGGGGTAATGCTGGGTCCCATACAGGTAACACTGGGTATACAGGGGCAATACTGGATCCATTAAAGGTAATACTGGGTATACAGGGGGCAATACTTGGATCCCATACATGTAATACTGGGTATACAGGTGGGCAATGCTGGGTCCCATACAGGTAATATTGGGTATACAGGGGGGCAATGATGGGTCCCATACAGGTAATACTGGGTATACAGGGGGGCAATGCTGGGTCCCATACAGGTAATTCTGGGTATACAGGGGGGCAATGCTGGGTACTATACAGGTAACACTGGGTACACTGGGGGGCAATGCTGGGTCCCATACAGGTAACACTGGGTATACAGGGGGCAATGCTGGGTCCCATACAGGTAACACTGGGTATACAGGGGGGCATTGCTGGGTCCCATACAGGCAACACTGGGTATACAGGGGGCAATGCTGCATCCCATACAGGTAATGCTGGGTATACAGGGGGCAATGCTGCGTCCCATACAGGTAATGCTGGGTATACAAGAGGGCAATGCTACGTCCCATAGAGGTAATGCTGGGTATACAAGAGGGCAATGCTACGTCCCATACAGGTAACACTGGGTATACAGGGGGCAATGCTGGGTCCCATACAGGTGATACTGGGTATACAGGGGGCAATGCTGGGTCCCATACAGGTGATACTGGGTATACAGGGGGCAATGCTGGGTCCCATACAGGTAATACTGGATATTCAGGAGGGCAATGCTGCGTCCCATACAGGTAGTGCTGGGTATACAGGGGGGCAATGCTGGGTCCCATACAGGTAATACTGGGTCCCATACAAGGGGAAATGCTGGGTCCCATACAGGTAATACTGGGTATTCAGGACGGCAATTCTGCGTCCCATACAGGTAGTGCTGGGTATACAGGGGGGCAATGCTGCGTCCCATACAGGTAATACTGGGTATACAGGGGGCAATGCTGGGTCCCATACAGGTAATGCTGGGTATAAAGGGGGCAATACTGGGTGCCATACAGGTAATACTGGGTGCCATACAGGGGGGCAATTCTGGGTCCCATACAGGGGGCAATGCTGGGTCCCATACAGGTAACACTGGGTATACAGGGGGCAATGCTGGGTGCCATACAAGTAATACTGGATATACAGGGGGGCAATTCTGGGTCCCATACAGGTAATACTGGGTATACAGGGGGCAATGCTGGGTCCCATACAGGTAATACTGGGTATTCAGGAGGGCAATGCTGCGTCCCATACAGGTAGTGCTGGGTATACAGGGGGGCAATGCTGGGTCCCATACAGGTAATACTGGGTCCCATACAGGTAATACTGGGTCCCATACAAGGGGAAATGCTGGGTCCCATACAGGTAATACTGGGTATTCAGGACGGCAATTCTGCGTCCCATACAGGTAGTGCTGGGTATACAGGGGGGCAATGCTGCGTCCCATACAGGTAATACTGGGTATACAGGGGGCAATGCTGGGTCCCATACAGGTAATGCTGGGTATAAAGGGGGCAATTCTGGGTGCCATACAGGTAATACTGGGTGCCATACAGGGGGGCAATTCTGGGTCCCATACAGGTAATACTGGGTATACAGGGGGCAATGCTGGGTCCCATACAGGTAACACTGGGTATACAATGGGCAATGCTGGGTGCCATACAAGTAATACTGGATATACAGGGGGGCAATTCTGGGTCCCATACAGGTAATACTGGGTATACAGGGGGGGTAATGCTGGGTCCCATACAGGTAATACTGGGTATACAGGGGGCAATGCTGGGTTCCATACAGGTAACACTGGGGGAAATGCTGGGTCCCATACAGGTAACACTGGGTACACAGGGGGCAATGTTGGGTCCCATACAGGTAACACTGGGTAGACAGGGGGCAAGGCTGGGTCCCATACAGGTAATACTGGGTATACAGGGGGGCAATGCTGGGTCCCATACAGGGGGACAATGCTGGGTGCCGTACAGGTAATACTGGGTATACAGGGGGGCAAAGCTTGGTCCCATACAGGTAATTCTGGGTCCCATACAGGTAACACTGGGTATACAGAGGGGCAATGCTGGGGCCCATACAGGTAATACTGGGTACTATACAGGTAATACTGGGTATACTGGGGGGCAATGTTGGGTCCCATACAGGTAATACTGGATATACAGGGGGGCAATGCTGGGTCCCATACAGGTAATTCTGGGTCCCATACAGGTAACACTGGGTATACAGGGGGGCAATGCAGGGTCCCATACAGGTAATTCTGGGTATACAGGGGGCAATGCTGGGTACCATACAGGTAATACTGGGTATACAGGGGGGCAATGCTGGGTGCCATACAGATAATACTGGGTATACAGGGGGCAATGCTGGGTGCCATACAGGTAACACTGGGTATACAGAGGGGCAATGCTGGGGCCCATACAGGCAATTCTGGGTATACAGGGGGCAATGCTGGGTCCGATACAGGTAATACTGGGTATACTGGGGGGCAATGCTGGGTCCCATACAGGTAATACT